TGCGTTGGCGTCGTCTCGATCGTGCCTTACTCCTCTGGACCAACGACAGCCATGGAGACGCTCTCGACCCCGACAAGATCAACAGCTACATCGCGGAGACGCCAAAGAGAAATTAGGCTCCCATACCCCTCATTTATTCGTTGTCTCCCAAATTCTTTAATATGCTATCGAGTTTGTGATTCTGGCTATCGCCGCCCTACTCACTCGCTCTATCCCAATATTACCTGCCTTACCCCTTGATCATACTGGGCTCGGGAAGTTTCCGGTTCCGGCTTCATTAATAACTTGATCGCTCTGTGGATCTCATCCAACCCCCAGGCGTCCAGAGTCTCACCTACCCCCCTATCGATCTCTTCCTCCCACCCGTCAATGCTCTCCCCTAAACCCCGTTCTCTGCCCCATCCCGGCTTCCTCGTTGTTGTTCCCTCGATCGTGTCTTCAACTTTTCCCAGGAATTTTGTTCTATAAACGTTGTCAAAAAAAAATGGCATGTTTTTATGTAGGCATCACACCCATACATGCTATATTGACAGGCTTTTATGGTTCTTCTATGCAAAGGAAGCAAGTTCATTGAAACTTGGGAAGGCTTCTTTTTTGAGGCAGATAATTTCTTTTTGAAGCACCGAAAACAAAATCCGCTCCCACCGAAACGTCGTTGAACTTTCTTTGTAAAAGGAAAATTTTGCTTTTTTGGCTCTTCAAAAATCAACCTAATACTGTTCTTTTCAAGAAAACATGTCATTTCTTTTTTTTTCAAAAATCAGGAAAATCAAATTTCTTTTTTTTTAAGGAATGGTGGCCGCTTCATCGAGCAGCGGCGAGCTAAAGCTGACAACGCTCCCTCGTGAAATTCTTCTTCAAATTTTCGACAATCTCCGGCCGGGCCATGTGGCGCGATTACGCCTGGTTTGCCGAATATTCAACGAGTAAGGCTTTCTAAGGCGCCTGAATTTTATTGCTGTTTTTAGTACGATAGACGATGATCGGTACTGGCTGACGCGTATCCAAGTGCTGCCCATTTTTATTGTTCATTCTGATTTTAGCGAACACTGGGCGCAAAGCTGCCGGTCGCTGAGACAAGATGCGAGAACTTTCACCCGAACAAGCTGATGGACGGCATTTATTTCGAGTCGGAACGCTGGTCGAATGTCAATGACGAAGACAAGTGAGTTATTCGCTAACAGACACTTGAATTTATACAGAAACCACCTCAAAACGTTTTTTTTTCAGGTTTATAACCGACGGCGCCATCAGCCATTATGCATCTGTGGATGCTGTTCAGTTGTTTCGGTAAGTTTTTTTCTGCAGATCCAATTTTTCCAATTTAGAAATTCTTCCCGCCGAAAGTTCTGTCTGAGTGGCGCCAGAGATCGTGCGTTGAAGCTCTTTGATTTGGCGGCGATGCGGGTAAATTTGGCTTATATGTAAAAGAGCTTTGATGATTTTAGGAGTCCCCAGAGGACAAAGACGCTTGGCTTGTGGCAGGTAAAGAAGCGGCGCACGAGGGCTGGATCTGGTCGGTCGACACGACGAACTGCGGCGCCCAGGTGTTGAGCGGAAGCTGGGACTCGACGATCAGCCTCTGGGATTTGGGAGAGCGAGCGTTTGAGGTGAGGATGAGGGCTTCGGACTACAAAAAATCCGCTTAAAAAGAAGACGTTCTTCAATCCGCTTCCGAATCTGCTAAATTGCCGTATTGAAGATCTAGTAATGCTTTTTACTTACAAAACGCAAAAATGGCGGTTTCGATGCCTCTAAAATTCCTATCATGTATTTTGGCAAAACTAATATGTCAGTTTAGAAGCATAAGGATACGCTAATTTATCAAGTTGTCCTCAAAAATTCTGGAAAGCAGGAACGAAAACCAATTTTCGGTTTTTTAGAAACTCTCAGAACTCAATTAATGATAAACATTCTTTCATTGAGCCCAACATCTTGCTGACGTGTTTTTTTCAGCGAATCTCCACCGCCAAGCACGTACCTGATGGCGCCGTCACTGGCGTGCTCATCGACGACAACGTGGCCATCTGCAGCAAATTTCACTCGTACATTACCGTCAACGATTTGAGAGATGGCCTCAAGGTATCCTTGTTTTTTAAAAACGATATTTATTTTTAGACGATTGCCAGAAGCAAGGTCCACACCGGCTCAATCACGGCCATCGCCAAGAAGGTGAGCCTGTTAAAATTATATATTTTAGCATTTTTTAGGGTTCCCTGATCTATTCGTACGGCGTTGACAAGAAGCTCAAAGTCACTGACCGCCGCAACTTGGCGAAGCCGTTGATGACGCTGAGCGTGCCCGCGTCGCTGAACATGTCCTTGGGGCAAGGGCTCGCGTATATCTCGACTTCAAGGTACGATTCGGACTGGTGTCCCTCTCGTGAAATAGTACAAGATTAATCGCATTTTTTAGCGGCTTTGTCTACGCAATTCGAGCCGATGATCTCTCATTTTCCCACAAGTTCAAGGCGGTCGCCACCGGCCGTCCAGTCCGGCAGGTCATCAAGACTTCCGGAAGTATATTGGCGCTAACGCAGCTGAATGGATTGAAGGTTGGTAGTGAGAATTCTGGCATCTTTATTTCTTTAGGCATTCACGCTGGCCAGCACACCCGTCGAGTTCTACACATCCGAAAAGTTCCACTGCGAGCCGTGCCGATTCGACTATCTCGACGGCGACGTTGTTGTCGGATGTGGCGACGGAAGTGGTATGATTTTCATTATTTTCTTTGAAAATTACGGTTTAGTGGCCTTCTGGCAATGCCCGGCAGCGCTATGACGACATTGATCTCCACGAAATGAATGTACGCAATTCGCCATCGTTTTTCATCACTGATTTTCACCAATTGTTGTTTTTTTGCTATCGCTAGACGGACATTCCCAAATATGTAGTATTCACAATCAAAACGTGCGCCTCAAGTACAACTGTGATTTTTGGTTTGATAAAAATTTTATGAAGTCTGTTATTCTGGATTTGGGTTGTTTGCACATCGATATTTGACACCATAAAAGAGAAATAAAACAATATTAAATAACAAGAAAATCTTTATTGATGTTTATTTTTAGTTTCGTTATTTTTTTTTTTTACAGGAGTTTCCGCGGAATAAGGCGACGCATTTCCGTAATCAGTTGTTCGCGTTGCATTCAGTTTTATTATTTTTCAGAAATTTTGGTTTGCGTTTTTGTTTGGTAGCTCTTTCCCACATCGTCTAAAATAGCACGAAAATTTTTTACCAACTTTCGAGCCCGTATCAGCTTTCAACCGGATTTTTCGCTTACTAGTATGCTTCATCCGCCAGCCGGCTCTTTCTTCACGAGGCAACGCGGGGCCCCTCTGCACGCTTTCTCGTTGACGTGTTATGTTCGACCTTAATTCTTTGCCAAAGAGCTTCAGCTTCTCGATTCAATTACCGCAAAAGATTCACTTGCTTCTATACGCTATCTTTTTCAGTGATTGGCCGAGTATGGAGGATAACATCAGGGACGAGCCGGGCTTCGTCTCGCGCCTCTTCTCTTCACTGGAAGTGGTTAGTTTTTGATACTAAACTTTGAATGCTGGAGTTATTTCTTTAGCGCTTATTTTTTTAGAAATATCAATACTACCTGGACAAGCTTACTCCACATACTGGCGTACGATGGGTTTTGGCCGTGTTGACCGTCTTCGCGTTTTGCCTGAGGATCTTTTACCTACAGGTTTGCAATTTGTGATCGACGCAATGATTTTTAGGGCTTCTACATAGTGACGTATGCACTTTTCATCTACTACCTCAATATGTTGTTGCTCTTCCTGACGCCGTCTATTGATCCGGCTCTGGAACTTGACGATGGTATTTATTGTTTTAATTCAAAAAAATGTGTTCTTTAGATGAGGATGGCCCGATGTTGCCGTCCAGGAACAACGATGAATTCCGACCGTTTATGCGCCGTTTGCCGGAGTTTAAGTTCTGGTAATTCTTGGTTTGCGTACAGATTCAACACTTTTTTAGGCTCTCCATGATGAAATCTACGATGATCGGGTTTTTCTGCACGTTCTTCGAGGTAATTCTTCCTGGCTTGTTTATAGTTTTTTTTAAGGTCTTTGACGTGCCTGTTTTCTGGCCAATCCTAGTCATGTATTTCTTCATCCTCTTCTTCCTGACGATGAGGCGTCAAATCTTGGTTTGTGCTTTTTCTTGGCTGAAAATTCTCGTTTAGCACATGATCAAGTACCGATACATTCCATTCACGACGGGAAAGCCGCGACGGGCTGGAAAGGAGGATACGGGCAAAGTTGTGTTGGGTTGATTCGGATAGGTGGGTTTTGATTTCACCAATCTTTATTTACGGATATTCCTTGCGTTGCTGGAATGCGAAACATCCAACTGGTTTCCCAAATTTTGCGAGATTTTTGGCTTTTTCGAAGCGAAACAAAGCACAAGAAAACAGGATTTTTTTCTCAAAATCTATTTTATCCCCCTTCTTTCCAGGTGATCTGACGGCACTCAATTTTTCGCTTCTCTGCGCCCACTCCCTTCCCTGCTCGTACAACAAGACGTTCGTTTCGTGCCAAATCTCCGCGCCACCACAGCGCACTAACGGAACAACCACCAACTCATCAGCCCAATCCCACCCATTCCCGCACACTATATATCTGCTGGCAGCTATTTATTCTAGGAATCGGTCTTTTCGTCTTCCATCCCAAATTTCCCCTTGATTTTTGGTGCACATCAATTCCGACCCTTTTCTGAAATGCACCCCATGTTGCAGCGCGCGCCCTCGCCTTGCAGTGTATCCCTCCCCACTGGAAATGTGATAATAACTTTTTGGCTTTCCCGTTTTGCAGATTCTCCAAATTTAGTCGTACCACTCGGCTCGTCATTTGCTCCTGTGTTTTTGGTTTAGCGATCTTCCCCTTTTTCGTGTAATAAATTTTCTACCACATGACGGCTATGCGATGTGATACGATACAGGCATTTTGAATTCTTACAGTTTGATCAGCGCACGCACAATTTTTCTAGTAATGGAAATCGACAATGAGCTGATGCTAGACGAGTGCGCTTTCATTGTTCAGCATGACTGGCATAGAAGCTTGTCGTAAGTGTTTGTGTAATGGCTGATCTTTGGGAGCCTAGGTCTGCGCCGTATAATTTTTTTGTCGGGTTGAAGAAGCCGGGCCAAGATAAGACGAAATTCTTCGATGCTATTGTGGATCCGAAAACTGGAGACATCGAAATCGAGAGGGGCGATGGCAGTTTTACGGTTGCTTTGAGAGGCGTAGGTCGAAACCATGTTAGAAGTTCTTTTTCTTTTAGAGAGCTCTAGAAGTGGCTTGTGCGTCCGGGCGTAAAACGTATTTTCTTGCGCCGCTGGTGGAATACGGAGGTTTGTACGTTTCTACGTACCTTGGCTTGCCTACTAGCGCGCGCCGCGCCTCCATGGCTGACAGACACCCGTGGCTCATTGGGGGTGGGCGCGATTGGAGGGAAAGCGGCGGTAGTTCGACCCCCCGCCGCGGCGGGGAGGTGCCGTACGTAAAGGGAGACGCCTGCCCCGGGCGCTCTTCCAGGAAAATACGGCAAGAATGTAATAATGACGAAAATCAAGCCGCATAAGTCCGATGGCTTTGTGGTTCAAGATTAGTCATACATTTTCAAAAAAAATGGAATTTCTCTGACTCTCGTTATAAGCAGAATTTTTTTGGGAAGTGAGAGCGAGCAGAGCAAAGCACTGGATATTGATTCAGAAAATATTTATCATTAAATTTTAAGAAATTAAATTATTGTTTTTTTCTAGACGTACACTCGGCACCGATCGCCTCCTTGGATGTTGCATCTTCAGGCAACATGTTCCTCTCCACAGACTCTTATGGCGCCCTTCGAGTTTCTGGAACGACTGACGGACGCCCTTTGGTACAACATTCCTTTTTTTACAAATTGCCATTCCAGAGAGAACTGAAAGGCCATATGCTCCACTTGACGGCTCGGCTTTTCCCCTCGGATCTGGTCGTGCTCGGTGGCGGCGCGGATATGCGACTACGCGTCTGGAGCGTGGAGACGTGCGAGGTGGCGCGGACGATGAAAGGACATATGATGGGTAGAAAGCATTCAAAGGCCTTAAGAAGCCTAATTTTAGCCATCACCGACATCGGGATCATCGGAGTCGGGCGTGAGGTTGTCTCTTGCTCCCGGGACGGCACGGCCAAGGTTGTTGCTCCTTTTTTGATTTATGAATTTTTAGAAGTGGAGTTGTGCTGAGGGCGATTGTGTATTGACGTGGGCGCCAGAATCTGGGGAGTGCAACGCGTTGGCTTTGAACCCGGGTACGCTGATGCTGGATTATTCATCCTCAATTTCAGCTGGTTCGCTAATTGCCGTTGCCTGCTCGTTGAACAAGATTGCCGTGTACCCCATTGATAGTTCGGAAATGGTAAGTTCCGTTTTTCAGGCCTTCTCAGCCTCTGTCTCTGGCTCGCCTTCCACGTTGTCGTTCTCGCCATGTGGTGCGAGAATTGCTTGTGGCGATGACCAGGGCCATCTTTCTATTTATAACGCAACGAACGGGTCAGTTAGTTTACTTCGAAAAATGGGCTTATTTTAGTTCTCGCGTTGCTCTGCTGCGCACAACCCGTGGCAACATCGAAAAGCTGAAATGGCGAAATGCTGGGATCTTTGTCTGTTTCCGTGTGTTGATTTTCAAAATTCGCCATTACATATGTTTAGACGACGGGAGCGTTGGACTCTACGACTCCGTGAATTTCCGAGATCACCCCAAGGTAGGTAGGGACTTAGTTACATAATTGCAATTTTAGTACGAATTGAGCGGGCCCGACTGTGATCCGGTCTACGACATTGCCTTCAACCAGGACATTATCTACACCGGATCTCGAGACAAGCTCATCCGAAAGTATCGATTGCCGAATCTATGATTTTTGCCAATATTTTTTTCTGCTTCCGGTCTCCATCCAATACGAGTGTTTTTGTGTGCTTATATTTCGAAGATGTTTCCGCGATAAATAATAACTTGAAAGAATAGGATGGATTGCAATGCATAAGTTTATACAATGAAATATCATCGGTGTGATGGCGCAAAGATCTTTACTTGCCGTTAGGAATTTGGATTAATGTAACATGTTCAGTATGCTATCGAAAGATCTCCTCCGTGCTCGCCCGTTGTTCAACATAACGTCGAGGGGCAAGCGCAACAGATTCAAGCCAAAGGTGCCACAAAAATAACAATATATTCTAGTATTTTTAGATAGCATCCGTACGACAGAACAAGAATCCTTCTTCTATGGCCCTCGACCATTTCGACTTCTATTACGGCCCTATTTTCGGGAAGAAGTAACCTGGAACTATCTAAAAATGATGTTGTTTAGGTGGCCAAGCATTCGACTTGGATTATTGATGCCGAATCAATATGTCGCAGTTGTGAACACGCTCTCAAAGTGAGTTTCAAGATACGAGAAAAGTATTTTCTAGGTCTTGGAAAGCCAACGTGCTGCTGTTAGAAGAAGAAGGCACTGTCGATCTGCTCGAGAAAATCCAGGGCAAATTTCGCGACAAACGACAGGAGGACAAAATTCGAGAGGTGAGCGATGGCTCTAAATTGTTGTATGTTTTCTTTAGATGTCCCAGGGCGCTAAAAAAGATGCGGATCGGCTGTTGCGGGAAAATCAGGTGGAGACTGATTTTAGCGATTTTATTAAGGTGCTTTCAGGAGCCTGGCACATCGCTAGACCGAAATTTCGCGCTCCAAGACACCGATGAGATGCGCGGGGAAGCCGGCCTCAAAGAATTCGCTTCCTCGCCCGGCGAATTCTCGCAGTACGACCAGCAGCTGGGGCTGAAGTTTACGGAAGAGCAGAAGCTGAAAGATATTCAGTAAGCTTGGTTTCGTGATGTCGAACTAGTATTAGGGTCACTGGCTTCGAAGGCGATGGGCTCGAATTGCCGATACGGAAGCACGCGTTAAAATACCCGAAAGATCTACGCATCCGGACAATGCAACGAGGAGATATTTCACGATATCCGCCACCGCTGAAAGATTCGGACGCCGTTCCAGGTAATTTATTCTGTCTCAACCAACCGATTTTTAGGGTGGTGGCTGCTGGATGGCGGCTCTGTGGTCCCGGTTTTGGCGCTAAATTTTGAGCAGGACGACACGTTTTTGGATCTTTGCGCGGCGCCCGGTGGCAAAAGCCTGCTTTCCCTGCTGACAGGATTGCCAAGTTAGCAGAAAAATTGTTTAAAATCTTTCGTTTCAGAAAAGATTGTGTGCAACGACTATAAGCTTGCTAGGCTTGGAGACCTGAAGCGGTCATTGTCACTTTATGTGCCTGCCAACAGTCCGGCGGCGGGAAAGGTGAAGAACTTTCGAGTAAGATGATAAAAAAATGTTTTTCAGGTGATTCTCAAGCGAAAAGATGCCAGTGATGTGGCGGGTTGGGATGAGATTGAGGCATACGACAAGGTAGATTGGATAATTTTCGCTGAGATCTTTTCTATTAGGTGCTCGCCGACGTTCCCTGCTCGTCTGATCGGCTATCTGTCAGCCAGGATGAAGGCACTCTTTTTGAACTGCAGCATACCCAGAAACGGCTTGACCTGCCGCAGTTGCAGACGAAGATTTTAGTGTAGGAAAAGCTATGGAGTTAAAATTAAAGTGTTTAGTAATGCGTTGAGATCCGCGAAAAAGGGCGGTTCCGTCGTCTACTCGACCTGCACGCTATCGCCCGCCCAAAATGAGGCCGTCGTGCAGAATGCGGTGGCCATCGCCGAGCAACAGTTTGGAATTCGGGTATGAAGAGGATTTGGATTCATTTTTGGACAAGATTTTGCGTAGGATTTGTAAGAAAATAGACTCTTTGGTGTTCAAAGCTGTTTTGAAACTTCTTACCGTAGGCTTTCTTTTTAACATAAATGATCGAGGTGTTGTTTTTTTTGTGTTAAGGTATCCCTAAACTAGATTGCTAAACAATACTGAAAATTGGGATTTTTATGAAAATTTAAAAAGGTCAAAATTTTTAATAGTTTTCAAAAGCTTTAAAATAAGTAAATTTTTAATTTTTAGGTGGTCGAGGAATCGCTAACCCTTCTGAAGCGTCATCTCGAGCTGACCGGGCTCTTCCGGTTCGCGAACAACACTCAACATGGTCTCCTGTTACTCCCGTTTATCCCCTCGAATTTTGGGCCGATGTACATTTGCAAATTGCATAGGTTGTTGTAGACTCTTATTATTATTTTGTTTGTAGTTGATAGGATCGTTTGTTATTGTTCTTTTTTTGCGTTGTTTGACCCGGAAAGATAAATAAGCAAAAGAACACTATATTCTATTTTCAGGTAGATAAAGTCGGAAAGGCGCAGCTAAAAAGTTCGCTCCGCGCTAAACCCCCCCCCCCCCCCCGCTAAAAGTGAAGCACCAAAAATTCAAGGGAATACTTTTTAGATTCGCAATCGTCGGTTTCGTAACGTTGATAGCGCCCGGGCAGTTTAGACCGTTTTCCCAGTCTAGCCATCGGGGAGGCGACTGGAAAGTCATTTGGCCGGCCGCCCAAATTCGGGTGTGAAAAAAGGGGCTTTTAGTGCAGGAGCAAGGGTCGACGCCCGAGGCGAGGGCGCAAAAATTCGGTGGGGCCAGTTTTGAGGTGAGCGCCTGGACCGGCGCCAAAACCCACTAATCCCGAATGGATGGACGGGCGTGTGCAGGCTGGTCGTGTGAGCAGACCAATCACGGATGAACTCTGTGCTGGCCGTTTGTATGTAGATGTCTTTCCAGGAGCTCAGGGGTCGCGCTGGGGCTCTTTTCGGGGGTTTCTTGGCTGAGTCTGATATGTTTTTTGAGGTTTACGACATTGTCTCGATGAATGCCATTAGGTGAGGGGAAGATGAAGGACTAGGCTGTGACCCGGCTCGTTAGAGGGAGCCTGTGAAAGGCTGTAGATCAGCTTCTAGGGATGCGCATCGTCGTGGGATACGATTTGTAGTGCGCTATTTATAATTTTTAGTAACTTTTATCTAATTATTATCTTTCTTTAACTGTCAAGCACTTTTACGTAAGTTAGCTAATTTGCTCATAAAAGAATCTTTGCTAGCTCGCCTTATTTTTGAACGCTTTTATACAATCTTTTTAGTTGTTTTTAGCTTACTTTAGTTGTTTTATCTTCTTTTCCTTTTCGTCCTACCCCTCTTTCCATCGTTAAATCTAATTTTTTCATCAAAGATTTCTGCTAGCTCGCCTTATCTTGAATAGCTTTTATTTTTAATTTTGCAATTCTCCTCTTCGGCTTCAAGGAACTTTACTATGCTTTTCCGTGTGGTTTCGACTCATATCTACGTAGCTATTTTTCCTCAAAGGATCTCTGCTGGCCCGCCCTGTTTTTTCAATCACACAATAGCTTTTGTCTAATTTTATGTGACCTGCAGTTTATACAACTTTTATCTTCTGCGTTTCTACTCTACGTCTCTTTTTAAGTAGAAAAGGCTAATCGGAAAGCTAATCTGCTAATCTGAAAGAATCTCCGCAGCTTGCATTACTTGAATTTTTTACGATTTACCGACTTATTTGCTTTTCCACTTCTGAAGAGATCAAAATACACCTCCTTGTACTGCTCCTAGCCTTTTCTACAAATTACACACGCTCCCGGCGCGTGCCAATTTCTTCTTGCCCGAACGCGCTCGCGGGGTTGCCTTCGTGTTTGGGCGCTGAAGCGCGGCAGATTTACAGCCCCGGGTCGTCAACCTGCACGCGCGTGCTGCCAAATGGGCGACTTTTAGCGCAGAAGGGCACCACCTCGGAATCAGGCTTCTCCTCAACCCTCGGGCTCAACCCGGTTATACTAGTGCGGGGGCGATAAGCCACTTTTCAACATCCCAGAGGGGTGGGGGTGGGGTTGTATTGTCAGGGCGGTTTGGGTATCCGGGGATATCGGTTTTTCGTTCTGGTCTGCCGGTCAAGAGAGCCCGTTTTCGGGGGGGTTTTGAACCTACATGAAGGTGTCAAGTTCTACGAGGGGCCGTACTTTCTAGGTTTTTAAGGGTCAGATTTAATCGGTATCTCGAACAGCGATACTGTAGCGTCTGAGTTATTAGTTGCATAAATTCATGAATCTTGCGCATTAATGATACCCAGCCCCCTATTAACTAAATTTAATGAGATTAAAAAGTAAATATTGAAACTAACTGCCGATCGATGGGATCGTAACTTCTCCGCCGTAGAAAGTTTTCGATACGACCTGGGTCCTTTTAGGTAGATCCGCCCATCCTTTAAATTTCATTTAAATACCTGTTTTTTTTTGCTTTTCGAGATACCTTGAACCTGCCACTTCTAGGAGGCCGAAAATCCCCCACCACCAAGCCAGACTCGCTAGCGAATGTTCACCTTCTCACCCTAACAAAACAAGGACCAATTTGGGGCGACCGGCTTCTGCGGGCTCGCTGGCTTGTACATTTTGGCACAACGGAAAAATAAGGGCTTACAAAATCGTAACGATTAATGCAGCGGAACCGGCTCTTCTTGGCGGCAATATTAACTCTTTTGCTAGCTTAACAAATATCTTCAAAAAATGAGAGTTTTGTTGTCTATTTTTGTTCTCCTTGCCGCCACTAGGTTGATGCCGAAAACCGTGAAATACTCGATGTCTTCGGTTTTTCATGATTTTTTGTGATGTTTTATCGTTTTTTTGGCAGTTATATTGCTCTCTCTTGCCCACGCTCTCTTTCTCTCTCTCTCTCTCTCTCTCTCTCTCTCTCTCTATCTCTCCCTCCCGCTCTCTCTCTTTCTCTCTCTCCTTCCCCATTCCTCACAATCCGATTTTCCGCCGTCCACGCCCCTTTAAAAGTAACCTAAAGCCGACAACGGCTGGTTCCGGTCTAACCGTAGCCCTTTGTTGACACCTCCCCCCGGCTTGTTCTCGACATACCGTCAAGATTGGATCGCCGGATATGGGGGATCGAAACGGGGCGACTTTTGCCGCCGGGCCGTTGTTGACCTTTGTTTTTTCGATATGGCGGCCTTGGACTGGTCGGCGGCGGTGGGAGATCTTCGGAAACTCATTGTAGCGAGCTTCTTCCTCGTGCTTCGTATCCCGACGATAATACCGACAGCCAAATCCCGACGCGGCACAGAATTAAAGTAGTCCCGGAATTGACAGAGACGCGCATTCATGCTAGTTTGAATACACTTCCTTGTAAACAGCTTCATATCGGTATTTTGGCTGTCGGGATTCTCAATTTCGGTGTTCTACCCATATGTATTCTTAGTTTCGACATTTTGTCTCTCGGGATTTTTAATGATGATATTGTGGCTTTCGGGATTTTTTTTTGATTGTCGGTGTATTACGTCTATGTACTTTCACTGTCGGCATTGCGCCTTTCGTGAATTTTTATTGTCGGGGTTTTACCTGTACGTGTCTTAGTGTCGACATTTTTCATTTTCGAAAATCGAAAATATCGAAAAGTCCTTTTCCATATGTATGCGTCCTATTATTCATGCTAATTCCTGTAGATGAACGCCATCTGAAAAGGTAGAAAAGATTTATTTTCCTAAACAATTATGTTTTTCATTTCAAATTTTTTGAGGAATTCGCTAGAGCTCCATATTTTTCACGCTAGTCTCAAGACTCGACTCTATCAGGGGGCAACCTGAAACCCGTCCCAAAACTTTCAAGCAACCCGCGCCGATCTTGTCGATGCCATTCTGGGTGCCGCGACGAGGTGCCAATGGGGTGTGGTTGGTGGGGGTGAATGGTGGGGCTAGAGAAAGTGAGAGAGACCGCCAGAGAGAGATGGAGAGCGAGCATGAGCAAGATCAAGGGCGCAAAAGGTGTTCCCATTCTTGATAATTGCCCTCCAGGCTATCTATCCATCCCCTCCATCCTCCCATCTGGCTCCAGCCCGCCCTGCCCTTCCTCGACTCGATACGGTACATGATCACCACCTGGGGGGAATACTGGCCCTTTGCCCAACCACCGGAACACCACATGGGGGCGTCCTTTTTGCTTTCACTTTTTCGAGGGAGATTTTGCACGTCATTCTAGACATTTAGAGATTTTAATCGAATGCCTACGAAATGTCTTTTTATTTTTTACTTTTATTTATATTTCTTTCTTTTCCTGTGTTGTATTTGATCCGTTTAATTTTACGAACTTCTCCCATTTATGCGTAAACGGAAAAATTGGTAGTTTGGGGTTTTCAGATAGTAAAAGTTCGATTAAAATGCTGATTTTTAAAATTTTCTTGTTTAAATGATTCTATGGAAACTCGTGGCTATTATTGCGGCAATCAAGTTGATGAAAACGTATATCTACGTAACCTTTTTGTTTTCTGATAAAATGTTTTTTTTTGGGAGGGTGCAGATGACCAAAATCCGACAATTGTTAAATTTAGAGGAAAAATTCCATGTTTTCCACTTATTTTTCCATCTGAAACATACTCTAAACTACTATAAACGATGCCTCAAAATTCTTGATTTCTAGCGTTCCCATATGCGGCATGCGCCATAGCCTGCTTCTACTCACGATGCTTTGGCTACAGAGGAAAGCGGTCGCAGTAGCAGGTGATACTAAAACAAAAATCTGGCTTTTTCTAAAATTTAAAAAGTGTAAAATCTCAATAAATGAAGCCGAGCTTTCAGATTGCCAGAATCGGGTCGATGTCTTATCGGCAAATGATCTGCCACCAGAACTGTCGGCCATATTTTCGGATCGAAACGTCGTGAGGACGCCGCTGGACTGTGCGCTGATTTGCTATATGAAGAAGTGTGATGTGAGTCAAATTTAAGTTAAATCTAAATCTTCCTATTTGGCTTACTTGTTCCTTTAAAGCGCTGCAAATTCCAGGTGGCCTACTACGACTTCAACGCCAGGCTCTGCCAGTTTACCGAAAATACAGCTAGCAGCTCGCAGGTTCGAGAAAATCTAGTTTTTTTGGAGTTGGATTTTCGATTTTTTTTGGCGATCTGAAAGGTTTCCGAATAGCGTTCCGCAATTTAGAACTTATCCTGTCCACTCCTTGAAGCCTTTCGGCAACCAATCCTCAGCGGCGAGCAAGCCGACGACGTTCAGAGGTTTTGTGTGCAGTGTCGAGGTAAGTTACCTAGCTAACAGGAGCTGACTGCTGCTAAAAAGTCTCAACGCAAATCCTCTCCAGATTCCACGTCCAGCAAAAATTGGGGGACCACCAGGAGACCGGAAACCACGGTCACAATCCGGCAACCACCGCGAGCTCCTCCTCGAGCGATTCCAAGGACAAAGCCAAAGACCTTAACCGCACCGAAGAACTCGGTGCTGAAGCTGGTCTCGAATTCCGGGTCTCAGGAAGTGAGGAGACCAAAGCCATTGCCGTTGGCTTCGAACTCGCGAATAATCGGGCTCCCCGCTCCTGGACCACTTCCGATCGGAATTGGAAGGGTGCCACAGCCGCCCAGATCAGTCGAGTTCCCGAATCCGGTGCCGATTTTTGAGGAGGTATCATTAGATTAATCGTAACAAGAAATTCGAGTCTAACCGGACCAGAAAGTGCTAGAAATCGACCCCTTCCCTACCGACTAGGTCTAGACAGCCATAAGCCATGCTAAAACACACCCTCTCCCTCTGTTTTACCTTTTTTTTGCAAACGGGTATGAAACTAGGTCGGACTTCCTAATACCTTTAAGAGGGCCCCAATTTTTTTATAAATGACAAGGCGTAAATTGTAGGCGACAATCCCATGGAATGGCCTCCGAAACGTCGTGGCACCATCGTTGGAAGAGCTGTCAAGAGAGCTGATGCTCGAGCACAAGGCTTCACATCGGGCGGATATCATGACCGGGCCATTCACGATCGAGACGAATAGTATTACAGTACCTGTAGGTTTATAATGTGTTTTGACGATTTTGCGACAGTAAAGAAAACAGTTATCCATGGATTTGGGCAATTTTCAGAGTTTTTTAGGGTTACGGTAATGCGATGTATTGTTTAATTGCCTGCTGGTTACTAGAATAACGTAAAATACTTTTTTAGGGAATCCCCGCACCGCTCTTCCGGCCTACCGTACCCCCAGTTGTTCTGATCGACTCGACAAAATCCGTACGTTTTGCATATCGGATCTTATTTCTCATATTGTTAGGGTGAAGCAGGGCTGCCGGAAGATCGAGCTCCTTTTAACTCGGCCGATGTGAGCTTTGAGCCCCAACCACGCCGAGTTCGGCCTCAAAAGCAGCAGCTCACGCGAGTGGCTGTGGCCGAGCAATTATCGGCAGGATTTTCGGTCCGTTTCGAAGGCAAGCAAAATGAAGCCTAAGCCAAGCCTAAGCTGAAATCTAAGCCTGGCCTAGAAATTACTTACGAACGAGTGGCGACTGAATTCGGTAATATTTGGCCCTAGGCAGGCTAGCAGAGATTCTTGAAGAACTGGATTCCTGAATCCCTCTTTTCTTTCTTACTATTAATCTCTGCTATTTTCAGACCCTCCCACGCCAACTGATCTCCACCGCCGAGTCACCAGAAATAATTCCCCGCGAAGCCCGGGGCCAACAACGTCCTGCTGTAAATTGGACGAGGCGGCGGATAAAGACGCGAAAACGGATATTCCCAGCATCAACAAAGCCTCACGCCAGATTCATCGGGTATCGTGGTAGTCTGCCCAAAAGGTAAACTTTTAAAAAAAATCCTCCAAAAAAGTAATTCAGCCTTCCATTCCGGCCGGCTCCTCTGCCACCGCTTCCTGGGGATAAGGCCAAAGCTAGCTTGCAGCCGGTTCAGATGCGGTCCAGGATAAGAAGGTAAGTTTGGGTAGCAGCTGTTTTAAAGGGACAGGCAAGCCAAGTCCATGGATTTGAAGAATCTTTGCATGCGATGGATTTTATGGATTTTCCTGAGCGCGTGACATTCGACGCGCAAAAACTCGAGTCTTTTAAAGTGAACGTAACCGATTACGCTGTGAAAACATGTGTGTACGAGTCGCGGCGCGGCAAAATCTTATTAATCCATAACGAACCAACTATTTTTGCGCCTTGCCTGTCCCTTTAAAATGGTAAAATTACGGGCTTTACCCTGCGGTGTGCGCGCGCATGGCGTAGAAAAACTCATAGAGAATATACACTTCAAGATATCTATTTTTATGGTTTAGCGGTTTCCTTAGAAGGTTTTATAATAGCTATTTTTAGACCATGTTACCGTAATCGGCTGCCATTCTGCCGTACTCGAATGGAAAAGCCGCTGCGCCCGATGTGGGTCGACGGTGGCAGCACGAAAAATCGAGGAGCTGGAATCGCGCGGATGAAGCGTAGCAGCAATAACCCCAATAGAAGATGGTTCTCGATGTTTGGCCTTGATTTTCGGAACATTTTAAAGATATGATTTGGGGTTTATAATTATTCCAAGTGTTTAAAAACATGATTAGAATTCTGTACTGCTATAATATATCCCTGAAACGGGTTCTATCTTTTCCGTGAATTTGTTCTGTCTTACAAACCCTTTGAAATGCAATGAGTGCTCATAGAACCTTGTCGTTATTTATCGCCTCCCGTTCGTCCATCTCTTTTCCGCCCCCCCGAAAAAAGTTTTGTGATGGTGCTCCCTTTTTTCTGAACTGCTTGATGACCTCGGCCCGATTGAGAGTGATAAATGGCAATTTGACAATCGAGAATCACACCGTATATAAACGGGTTTGTGGCGTAGTGCAGGCAATTTTGGCGAGGCCGCCTGTGATCATTTCAAGGAAATTTCAGGCCTTGAGTTTGCGATGAGCCTAAAATAGCCTCAGCCAAAGCTAAGCCTAAGCCGAAACAGGAACGCGCATTTTTAAGACCCAGAGTACAAACTAAAACTCTGCTGGCACGGTCCCTTTAATAGCTAAAGCTCCACAGCAACAAGCACTGTAGCTTTTCCCCCACCCCAACCAGTTCTCATCCCCTAAAAAGTGCCCCCAGGAGGTGTCCGATCGGATCTCTGTTCTCTACACAATGCAAAACTTGTTCACCGTCCCAGCCCCCGAAAGATGACTGGAGGGCATGCGGACGGCCTCTTTTTCAACCGCCTTTCTAGGCGATATTCCGTCTGCTTCTCTGCTTCCTCTCCGTCCCCTTGATCTCTCGCCGCGGGGCGTATTCGAGCCGGCCGCCGCGTGCGTGTGTTTTCTGGAGCACACCCCATTCCATTTGCCCCCCTTCCCATTCCACACACCGCAACCAGCCTCCTTCTATATTAATTCGACATGCCGGAAACTAACTGCGGTATGTTTTTTATAGATTTAAACGAAGATAGAAATAGACTTGAAGATACTAGCATTTTAAAAGGATGTGAAAGAAAACTAAAGATGATTTCTTCGCCCGGAATCTTGAGAACTTGGCGGTTCTTCCGAAAAATGAACAGAGCCGATTTTATCTAAACATAAATGGCGATATAAATAAGCTTAAAGATATTAGCGCTCTGAAAGAGAGTTGAAAAGCAAATAGCCATGATTCCTTTTCATTGAAATGACTTAAAATTCATGATTTTCTTCTGAAAAAAAGAAGAAACACACCGCTTTTCCAGTGCGCCACGCTTTGTTTAGTGGGGTTTTTCGACGCAATTTTCTTTTCCCTAGTATGTTTTATAAAAATTTTTGAAAGGACTGGTTAGCGTATTGAGGTACACTTATAGTAGACAACATACCATAATTGTTTCTTTTGATTTGGAAATCGGTAAAGCTCAATTTTTGCTTTCTTTTCTTCCAACTCTCTATTTTCAGGATGCGCCGAGGGCAAGGAATGCAAGTGTGTCGACTGCAAATGCGCCAACTGCCCGTGCCCGGAAAAGAAGACCGGATGCGCCGGTGGGTGACGGTGGCGGGGGAGTGCTTTTTAGGATTCGACGATTTGCAAAATCTGTGATTTTAAACGGTTGACAAGGACCAGAAAAGCTCGGGAATTCCAAGAAAAACAATTTTTGAGAGACCAGCTTGGCAAAAAATAGTTTTAAGGAGATCGTGAACAGGTTACGAGCGGAATATTTCGCGTAGTAAACCGGGCCCATGGTCCAACCTAACAAAAATTAACAAGTAAGATTAATCGGAATTATGGCCAAGCCTAAGCGCGAGCCTAGTTTTAGCTGCGATTTTCCGATCCTACTATATATAAAAAAATAATGTTTGTGTGTGTGTCTGTGCTACTTTGCATGCAACTTCCGTCACCGTGTTCCAGTAGTATCTCAAGAAGGGAGGTACTTAGGGGTATGTTCGATACGTCATTAGGTGCGTAATGGTCAGGATATGACTGCACGCATATGATATTTAACAAAATCACCTATTTTCGGTATTAAATTTAAGTTTTTGTTGCAAAATTGGAGACTCGCTTTGTTAGGAATCAATTAGCATGCGCAGGAAGTGGCAATCGCCTATATAACGGGAAAGAGGAACGCTTTTCATTTTTTGCTTATCGGAATCCAGGAAAATCATGCAAAGCGGAGAATATTCTAGGGTCAGACGGGGCCAGGGTTGAAAAGTCGCTAAGGCCGCGGTTCGTTTTTCGATAAGAAGAAGCCCGCGAAAACATGCTGGAAAAATTATCACCACTTTTTCAGGCGGCGAGAAGAAGGAGGAGAAGAAGTCGTGCTGCGGCGGCCACTAGAGCGCTAGAAGAAGCCGCTTGAAAAAAGCCGACCCATAATTGTGAACGCTTAATCTTAATAACCCCAATAATAAGTAATAAAATATTTATTTGCGTATGGTTGCCGGGGGCAGATATATATTTGTTCATGAGACACAAAAAAAAACACGAAACAAACAAAGAAAACGGAAAAGTCAAGAAATCGATCACATTTTGAGAACGGATTGGTGGGGTTTGCGGGTAGTCTTTGGATATAAAAATTAAAGAAATATCGTGATGTACAGATAGAAAATGGGAAAATCATTGATTAAAAAGGGGCAAACTCTGCTTAAATAACATAAATTTAAATTTTCTAAAATAGAATTTTCAAAAAATATAAAGTTTGAAAACTCAAGAACTTGAAAATTAGATTTTGTAACACTTTCTGTTGTCAATTGATTAAGTTTAAGCAGAGAAAGCGTCAATTTTAATCGTAGCAAAAAGCAGCATTGAAAACTGCGGGGGCTAAAGCGGATATTCTCAAATGAGTCGTGGATCACCGGTGGATGAATGGGGTTCAAAAAATTAGCATATATAGATTTTTCACTGTTTATATACAAGAGAAAGAATTAAGAAAAAGAAAAGCCCTTACATTTCATTATTAAAAGCACAGCATATATGTAAATGAGGGATATATTGGCGGTGCTCGCGCGGGACCCTTGAATGCATGTCAAAAAATGGGTTAGGCCTGAGAGTTTTGCTATGGTTCTATATTTACTAGATGCTATTTTGGTCCGATTTATACTCGGTATAACGGAGGAGTACTGTATTATTGTATACCACAATTTGTCTTCTTCTTTTTCTTCGCTGGGGAGATGGGTTTGCCGTTATCTGCTTGATCAGCGGAGGGATGGCCGTTGATCGGTTGTTGCCGGTCGAGGATTTGGTATCTTCTAAAATTACACAGAATTGACAAAAGATTATGATAGGAAGCCGAAGTCTAAGCCTAAGCCCTAAGCCTAAGCCTAAGCCTAAGCCTAAGCTAAGCCTAAGCCTAAGCCTAAGCCTAAGCCTAAGCTAAGCCTAAGCCTAAGCCTAAGCCTAAGCCTAAGCCTAAGCCTAAGCCTAAGCCTAAGCCTAAGCCTAAGCCTAAGCCTAAGCCTAAGCTAAGCCTAAGCCTAAGCCTAAGCCTAAGGCTAAGCCTAAGCCTAAGCCTAAGCCTAAGCTAAGCCTAAGCCTAAGCCTCAGCCTAAGCTTAGGCCTAAGCCTAAGCCTAAGCCTAAGCCTAAGCCTAAGCCGAAGCCGAAACCTAGGCCTGCCTAAGCTTACGCCCGAGCCTAAGCTTAAGCATAAGCCTAAGCCTAAGCTCAAGCTTAGAAAAACTCCCACCCACCTTACGAGCCGGACAAGATCGTGAAATGCCTGGTCAACATTGAGCCGCAACTTTGCTGAGCATTCCAAGTACGGCACTCCCAGTTCTCGTGCCAGCGCCTCGCCTTCGACCTTCGCCACCTGAAAATTGGTTTTTCTTGCATTTCTAACCTCCCCATTTGCCTTCTCGATCCTTTTAAATAATCCCCCCACTTCTTCCTGTAAGTTTTCTCAATCCCAATCCTATCCAGGAGGCGCTAGTGGAGTATAAGACCTTGAGAATGGTGCGAATGGTAGAGGAACCCCCAGATTACGACATAATGGGCTCGGGAAGGGGCGGAAGGGGAAAAGGAATGGAATCCCACACACACACACACCGCAAATTATCATCCCCAGGACTGTAAAAGAGAGGTCAGTCGGAAAGTGAGCCGATGAGCGATGGGAGCCCGGGATTTGAAGGGGTTATAACAATTACAATGGCTCGGCTTTCCCTAGGAAACTCTGCTAAGGTCTGTTTTTTAATATTTTTTGCAAAATAATAGTCCATAAAAAACTATGGAAAACGTCATCTGTACGACCAAACAAAATCCTTTTCTTCTAGCTTGCCTAACTGAAGAAAGGTGACGGACGTACAAAAAAAATCAGAAAGCCCGGATTTCCACAAGAATCCGTGCTAGTTTTCTTTATTTTCCAAAGGGAATCACTGCTAAGCTGCCCCATTTTTGAGCAAGTGAGCGAACGAGCACCATGCTAAATCACTTCCGAATCTTCCAACGATCTCTGCTAGCTTACTACAGCCTACCAACCATCAATGGATTCGCCAGGAGTACATCGACCCAAAACCTCGCTAATGGTCTCTGCACGTTTGCCCTTGACCTCAACCTCAGAAAACCCAAGCTATGCTTTTCCCGACAAACTTCCTACTTGGTCCCCCATCCTCAGTCTTTAGGCATTTCCGGGCGAGTGCGTAGAAAGGATGGATAGATAGCCCCGAGGGCAGCTCATTCCCTCGAACAAACGAGTCCCCAGATGAGGGTCACTACAGGAAGAGAGAGAGAGAGAGAGAGAGAGAGAGAGAGAGAGACAGTGAGAGAGACGAGGTCCCATAAAAACACGAAGCAGCAGCACAGACATAAAACTACCCGCTCTACTCACTCACTCCGATGCCCAATGGCCCGTGGTAAAGAAGGAGAAAGACAGCTGGGTCGGTTTTTAAAGGAAGTGTGGCAGGATGTCGTAAAAGATCCAAGCAAACGAGCGGTGATCATTGAGGAGATTGGGGGCCTATTGTGGGCTTTCCGTCCCTTTAAAGTTTAATCAGTGCCTTTCCTTCCTTCTCCCCTTTTTAAGACCTCCCTATTGTAAGCCACCCTAAAAAAACTCCCCAGTTTTTGAGCGTCAGTTCAAACTTCTGGGTTT